CTGAACCGTAAATCCTAAACCCTAAAGCCTAAACTCTAAACCCCTATCTCCTGAACCCCTAAACGCGCTCAGTCCACCTGTTGAAGGACCGGCGCGGAGATCGCCGGCTTCGGTCAGCTGGACGAGGGCATGCAGAGGAGACGCGGCCTCTCTATTAGGGCCTATTAGGGTTTAGGGTTCAGGGTTTAGGGTTCGGGGTTCAGGGTTTAAGGGTTCAGAGGTTCAGGGATTTAGGTTGGAACTTTATAACCCTCATACCCTTAGGTTAAGTATAAGGGATGCTAGCACTACTCATCCTCTAAGCCGATGTCTGGGGTTCGCTCTATCTCCCAAAGGGTCCAAGTACCAATAGAGCAGGCACACAGTAGACATTTGGGCCTTTAAATACAGTTACTTTTCTATTTTTACTTCTAGTCTTGTTGTTGCTAGTGTATGCTAGCATTATCAGGTTCTGTGGTTATGTTTAGTGGCAGCTACGTCCTGGACGGCTCTATGTCTCGCCGAATCTAAAATTTTCGATGCAGAAGAGCACCAAAAGTTGGGCCAAAAAGCAGGGGCCCTCCTCAAGAATTCCCAGCCCTAGGGTCAGAGTTTTATAAACTCTAGATGCTTTAATTTGCGTGCCTCTAGACCCTAAGCTCTTGAATCTCTGGGCCCTAGACCCGGAACTGTGGAACTCCGAGACAGTGAGCTGCAGGAAGTCTGGACCCTAGCCTGTGTAAGCCATTTCATCCCAGGACTAGATGAGTAGTTCTCGAAATCAGGGTCCTTTTTTAGGGTCCTTTTTGTAAGGGTGCCGTAGTACTTTGGGGCCCTTACACAGGGACCCTAATTTAACGAGCTACCCATATAAACCGTAGGCCGTAAACCACCGGAAATGAAGCAGCCCAAGACCATGCATTGTAAAATCCTGCAAGTCTAAACTGCAACAACGGAGCTTTCTGGGGGTGTACATGGCTGTAGATGGGAATATCTGAACATCAAGGGTCCTGAACCCCTAAACCCCTGAATCCTCAAACCCTCAACCCCAACCCCCAAGCCGCCTTGCATATGTCAACTTAACTATCGGGTAATCCAAGAAGCCTGCAAGAAAAACGGTACGCTTCTGTTTAGGGCTCCTTGTTATGGGTGCTTATTAAGGAACTTGATCTAAGTTACCACCATACTGATCCATCGTAAATACTAGGATCTCCTTATTGTGGTACTGTAGCTCAAACCAAGTTCCTGAACAAGAAGCTAGCGGGCTTCGGGGATATACTATTTGAGGATAGGTTTATGCTTATGTAGGGATATAAATAAACATGTTCTATATCATAAGGCTATGCCAAACCCTAACCCCCCCCCCCCCAATATAGGGGTTAGGGTATAAAGATTAGAGTATCAGGCCCTCTGCAGTAGTGCGACTTTGGCCCCTTCCTGTCGGCCTCCCTAAAACCATCAGTTTTCAGCTCACAGCTAGGGTCTGGGGGCTCCTTATGATAATTACAATATAAAATGCCCCGAAACCCTATTCTGAGTATTAAGGCCCCTATGTTAGGGGTTTAGGGGTTGAGGGTTTAGCTTAGTCGTAGAGTAGGTAACCTTGACATGTTTGGGGGTCTTTGAATCCTTACATAAACCCAAAGGCAAGCCTCATAGTACTCCTAGGATGCTGAACAAGTAATGCTAGGGTGCGAGGAACCCCAAATACCTGCAAGCCCCACCTGCACCCCCCATAAGGGCCCTCTAAAACAGACTTTATGGTCTTTTAGTGGGTCTGTGCGGTTTGGCAGAGGGTGGTTGCCGGGGGGGGTAGGGTCCGAGACCCTAGACCTTAGACAACCCGAAACCCTAAACCCCTAAACCCTAAACCCTAAACCCGTAAACCCTAAACCCGTAAACCTAAACCCGTAAACCCTAAACCCAGAGATTGAGGGTTGGAAGCCCGACCCTTGAGCTGGCGCAGAGGAGCGTCTGGGAGGCTGCGAAGACTTGTCTGAAGGCAGTCGGTTTCTCTTGAAGGTTTCGGAGGGTTTTGGGGTTCAGGGCTTTACGGCTTTGGGGTTTAAGGTTAGGGTTCAGGGCTTCAGGGCTTAGGGTTTCAGTTCGTTCGGCAATATCTTGAATTGGGAGTTGCATGAGAACTCGTGAGAACTGGGCACCCGAACATCGACCCTTCGGAGCGGGAGATCTCCCATTTGGGTGGGGCATGTGCTAAGTTTCCGGCCCCCTAAGGGGTCCGGGATGGCCGTTTTCAATCTCACTCGTGCGCAATCTCCGACACTATACGGCCGAGTTTGCTCACCCCATCTTAGAATCTTAAAGAAGAAGAAGAATAATAATAAGACCTGCAGACTGTAACGAAAGTCCTTGTGTTTGGGGCAGAGGCCTCACGAGGATCGCCGCACCCGCCAAGAGCATCGCGACGATCGCCCGGTCAATGCGGCGCCTCATGGGAAGGGGTAAGCCCGACTTCAAACCGACAAGACCGCGGAGCAGAGGAGGGCTGCCAACACATTCAAGATGCCAGACGATGGGCCATCGAGTGACCAGATAAAATCCAATATAAGTATAATAGGGGCCTAAATCATTACCAATATTATTTTGGGGGTTCCTTATGAAAATAGTATAATGGGCCCCAAAACCCTATTCTAATTGTTAAAGCCCCTACATTACGAACTCCGGCAAGCGTGACTGATCTGGAGGACTAGTCGCATTAGAACCACGCACTTGAGCTCCGATAGGAAAAGTGGCGCCCAAGGGTGCTCAATGGGGGATTTCGGTTTAGGCTTTAGGGTTTAGGGGGCGACATGTCGTGTGGTCTTTGTAAGTCTGTTACGGCTCCGACTACTGTCTTCTTTTTCACCTCTGAAAACAGGCTGGACTCGAAACCCTAGTCTCTGAATTAGGGTCCCTTGATAAGTCCCAAAATCGTACAGCATCATGTATAAAAGGGACCCTAATGGCCTTAAGCTAATGTAGGGGCCTAAAAAAATTACCTGTACTATTTTACGGGTTCTGTATTATGATTATACTATAAAGGAGCCCAAAACCCTATTTTGATTATTCAGGGCCCTACATTAGATCCTATTCCCTAAGCCCTATACCCTAAACCCTAAACCCTAAACCCTATACCCTAAACCCTATTCTAATTATTCAGGTCAGGCCCCTACATTACCCCTACTTTCTCCGCCCGAGACCTCAGTCCAGCTCACCCGCAGACTCCGGACCCGACAGCCTTACTAAATACCTATATTAAATTAGGGCTCCCTTTACGTAGGATCCATTATATAAGAGGATCTATAAGGGCTTCTGTAGGTTTCTATGAGGGTGCTATAAGGGTTCTATTTGGGTAGTTCTCTAAAT